AAATTAAGACAAAAAGATTGCACAAGTGTGTCAAGCCAAGAACAGTGGTAGAAATCAACAGATGTGTGCACAGTGTGTATTCAAGAAGATGATTTGAAAATAACGGGTAAAACAACAATGGTGATTAATAATGAAGCAGAGCTTCTTGGAAAGCTACAAAAAATAAAACTAGGAGGAACAGTAGCTTACCAGAAAGAAGGAAGCCGAAATGAGAATTGCCGAAGTCTGACGACAATGACAGAATGACGTAAGCTTCACCGGAAGAGAGGAACGAAGACAGTTGGAGAAGCTTGAAAGTTTGGAACAATGACGGATTTAAGCAAAAGAGCTAGAAAGAGAAAAAGCCAGAGGATTGAATGAAAAAAGAGAAAAATAGTCAAGAAGACGACAAAGTTCAAGAATAAAGCTAAGTGCATAGGCACTAAGTAAGTATGTAAAGAACAAGAAAGTAATGACCCAGACACGATGCTAGTAACAGAAAGCGGATATGACAAGAACAGTGCCAGGCATTCAAACAATTCAAAACTTGAAGACAGACGAAAATAGAAGGCAACAGATGGCAAGTAAACAGATTTAGAAGAGGTATGAAAGATTGAGCTTAATAACAAGTAAAGAGTTTATGAACCTACAAAGTGAAATGAACGCCGATATGAAAATCGCCGGAGTCAAATAGATGACTGGAAATCGGAAACTGCTCACTTAGGATGAGTTCTTCTATACTTGAATGCCTGGCACTGTTCTTGGAAATATTAACTATGTTCAACTGAAACCAATTCTACTGTCACTAACAACTCACTGGCACTGTTCTTCTATACTTGAATGCCTGGCACTGTTCTTAGAAATATTAACTATGTTCAACTGAAACCAATTCTATTGTCACTAACAACTCAATGGTAAAGCTGAATTTGACAAAAACCTAGATAATATATATATGTGTTCAACTGAAACTGCAAACTTACAAATTGTTCTTGTTTACTTCTTTATTTTGTTTTATTTTTTTCTAATAAGTCTTCACTAAGAAGACCTAAAAGAAGGAAACAAAAATATAATCTTATATAAATTGGGGGTGCTACTAAATACACCAATCAAAGTTGGGATGATTTTGCTAGCTATAATACATTTTGCACTCGCCCCCTATTTGTTGATGTTTATTTTTGTATCTTTTATTTTTATTTTCATCATTACAGATTTTTTACTCCTCAAAAAAAAAAGAAAAAAATAGACCAATCAAAGTTCTCTCTACGCCAATTAATGTGAGACCACAATTTTTAATGCATATGGGAGGGAGATGAGTGTATGACCTCCAATACGGACTATATTAATTAGTCAAAACTCATGTATCTCAATAAAAATTTAAAAGTGAGTCTAGTTAAAAATATGACTTTCCTTATAAGTTTCAGCTTTCAATTTACTAAAAATAAATAAACAAAAATTGTCATCATTTTTAAGTGCCATTACATTTTTTGGATAAATTACACTCACCACTTTTAAAGAATGAAAAAAAAAAAAAAATACAGTTAACACCACAATTTTAACATAATTGCTCCATGATTTCTTAAAATAAAAATCTCATATCACTTTGGCTCTTGTGGCTCTTGGTTATCCGTTGCCTTTCATTATCAATAAACTTGTTTGGTTTCATAACTCAAGATTCACTTTTTAGATAATTGAAATTTTTTATTTTCTGTATGTTTTTGTTTTTATTGAATTTTTTTAATATTTTAAGTAATTTTTTTAATATTTTAAGTAATTTTTTTAATTTTTAGATACACCTAACATAAATATACTCAAAAAATATAATATTTGTAAAAAAAATATTTAAAAAATTCATTAAATACCTAAAATATAAATAAAAAAATGCAAAAATTTAGTATATTTTTCATATTCTTATGTATTATTGATTTTTTAAAATATTTTTTACAAATATTTTATTTTTTAAATACATCTAAGTAAGGTGCACATAAAAAAGTAAAAAAAAAATTGCTTAAAATTTTAAAAATATTCACGAAAAGAAGAAAAAACACGAAAAATAAAAAAGTCAATTTCTAAAAAATTGAATTCAAAAAATTAAAATCAAACATAGTGAATTTTTTTTTTTTAATATTAGGGGGACTAACATATAGGTCGTAATAGGTGGGCTTATTGTACAATAGGTTCTGTGAGAACTAATAGCATTTTTCATCAAACACTTTAAAAAATATCATTAATTGTTAATTTTCAGTGACAGTTTAAAAATTGTCACAAAAAAGTCACTAATTATAAGTTCTAGTGATAGTTTAAAAAAAGTTACTAATTATAAGTTTTAGCCATAATTTATAAAAATTGTGACAAAAAATCAACTAATTGTCAATTTTCAGCGATATATATAAAAAATTATCACAAAAAATTATTTTTAGCGACTGTTTTACTAGGACTTGTTTCTAATAGGATTTGATAGGAATTAAATCTAACTATTAAGAACTATTAATAATTTACCCTATATATTACACACCGTTGAATTAACGAGGGTAGTTAGGTAAATTAACTACGTAAGAGATAGTGTAATTATGTCATTTGAAATCAATATATATTTAAACACAACATATCTAAGTGTAATATAGCAATTTCATCACATCCATTAACACTTTTAAAATTACCAGTATTGTAAGAGAGGTCAATATAATTCCTTAAAGCTGTGAGAAAAGAAAAAAAAATGTGAGATCTCAGATTGGCTATACTTTTTCATTACTTGAGGGATGTCAATATAATTTATTTATTTATTTTTTTTTGGTAAATTACATATAACTCCTAATTGTTAGACTTAATTCATATCAAGTCCTATTGAAAATTAGTCTTAGTAAAATCGTCGCTACAAATAATTTTTTGTGATGATTTTTACATATATCACCAAAAATTAACAATTTGTTACCTCACAATTTTTATAGATTGTAACTAAAACTTACGAGTAGTGATATTTTTATGTGACGAATTTTTTAAATTATCGCTGAAAGTTGAAAATTAGTGACTTTTTTTAACCGATTTTTTAAACTGTCGCTAAAACTAATAATTAGTGACATTTTTTGTGATAATTTTCAAACTGTGGTTGAAAATTAACAAGTAGTGATGTTTTTAATAGTGTTTGATGAAAAATGTCATTAATTATCATAGGATCCATTGGATAATAAATCTACCTATTAGGACCTACACGTAATTTTTTTATTATTTATTTTTTAATTTTTTTAATTTTTTTTGGGTCTTTCACCTTTTCTAATAAAAAGCCAAATTTAAGGTCACTATTTTGTCACAAAACTCAGAGCTTGAAGTTTCCTTTCCCCACAATAGTTTATCGGTTTGTATCAAACAAGCAATCTTTTGAGACAAAACCATGCCAATGTCAAAAGCTAAAGGACATAAAAAGCCATGGCCTACAATCCAGGCTTCATTTGCAGCCAAACATGCACTCCATGTTTGATATATATATATATATGTTTCTGCCAATTTATTGAGTGTGCCCACAGGATTAGCTGGCCTTGTATACGTATCTACATGTTGATTATACGGTAAATGCATTTTTAATCCCAAAAACAAAAACAAAAACAAAAACAAAAAGAGATTTGTGTTATTTTGAGGTAGTTCTATGAGAGAAATAGAAAAGTTATTTTTTTCAAAGGATTTTGTTTGGAAAGTTAAGCGAAATGCAAAAAAGGAAAATCAATATGAAAAAATTCTTTGTATGCCTTTTGTTATTCGATTCCTTAAATTGCAATCATGGATGGCAAAGTCTTAAACTACCTGTGAATAAAATCAATACGTACTAGATTAAAAATTTGGAATCGTTAACACTATGAAAATTAATACAGACAATTTTCAACTCTTAAATGAATTTTCAACAATAGTTACATACGCTATTAGAGTTATTGGAGCAAGCTCAAAAAACATTATTATGGTACAAATTGTGTCTACTTTAGTTTCAAAAACTGAAACTTGAGTTCCTCAACCTTGTCATATTCAATTTCTCTATCTTTCATCTTGTCCAAACCTCATCTCAAAGAAAGTTTACTAGTAGCAGACAAAGCAAAAGAACTGCTCCAAATGCTTAAAGACAAAATAAAAATAATAATAATAATAATGAAGCGCTAGATATCTCTTCAATTCTTTAGGAGCTGTATAAGATCAAGAGAAATGTCCGAATCCCTTACAATTCAATGTAAGAAATGAACATGTGCACCTTTTGAAAATAGGACATGATGAATCTTGCAAGTGGATGACATGCAAAGCAGCTAACTTATGCAAAAAGCCAAAAAGGTGGGCATACCCACTAAAAATGGATTAAACATAGCAGAGATTTCACTACAAAATTAAGTTTGTCTTTTAGCTTCACTTATATTTGTGTGTATTCTAATTTCAAATTTGAAATCTGATCTTTACCTATAAGAGGGTATATGGACTATTAGACTGTATCTTGTAAATGCAAAGTCAAAAACCAAGTCTTATTTAACAATATTCAACTCTTTTTTCTTGTAATCTATCAGCTATATTTAATTTTCTAGAGATCTAACAATAATAATGTAAGTAAAGTAATAGTCACAGTGAAGAATTATGCTTACTGTTTACTAGTTGGAAGGCTTGATTATTAATCACAGTAAACGAAACAAACATGGCATCCATATCAAAAGCAAACAACCAACAAATATAAATTTTTGTCCAACTAATTAAAGCACAAAACTTATTTTCTTATGATTGCAATATTAAAACTATTGTGCTAATAGTTGTATTAATGGATCTGTCAACTGCTGAAGCCATGACAGCTTGAGAAAAAATATTTTCTCATGATTGCCTATCTCTCTCTTTTTTCGTTCATAAATTCTACCTCTTGTGTTTGACCCATAAAACAAAAACAAAAACAAAAACAAAAGTGAAAAATTAAAAATAAAAAAACAAACGAGAGAGCTAAAAAAAAATCTTTCAATCACTCCAAGAGCCTTCATGCATTTTCTGCAATTGTGTACAAAGTCAACTTGAAAATTACAATTCAAATTTGATGCATATATTACATTTTTGCCATATAATTTGAATATATAACAAAAATAAAGGTATCGAGTTCAAAAATTGCCGACTTTTACCAACAAGAGAGCTCCTCAAGTTGCCAATATGTACCACAAAGAAAAATTTTAATTTCCGTATACCAAATATCTAATCATAATGTACACTAACCACCCTCAAACCAAAGAAAATAAGTTGCAAGATGAAGCATCGGATGTACCACATGCTCAAAATCACCCAAAATCCTAACCGCTACAAGCCACATTGCCCACCAGACAATAGAATCAAAATAAAAAAGATTGCTGCACTAACACTACAGACAGGGAGAAGACACTTCTCCTGGAAAAATAAAGAGCTCATACATCATCATCTTTCACAACTTTGAGGGCCAATCAACCTCACAATTCACTAGGGAAATTCTTGATTTGTCCTTCCTCCAAAACATCTTTGTTATTCATCTTGTAACCTAACCGTATGCGCATGACAAGGGATTTCTGAAAATTAAAACAAAAAATAATAATAATTATACAGTATACAAACCAAACCAAACCAAACCAAACTAAGCCTTGTGCCCCAATCGAGTGGCGTTGATTATATGAATCCTTTCTCGCTATTCAACTCTAAAGGGATATAGGCTCAGTTAAATCATCAAGTTCATAAGAGATCTGACTGAAAATTTTATGTACTGGCTGTGAGGCTACCTAACATACAACCAAAGACGTTTACTTTCTATACACAAATCCTGAGCCTATCATTATCAATCAGTGAAGTACGCTGAGCTTCGAACAAGTGCTGAAAATCTTATGGCCAGAAACTCGTTTTATCAAGTTTATAAAATATTTGTGAAAGAAAAAACCAATGAAGAAGGCCAGTGGTGGCATCACATCAAAAGAATGAAAGCACTTCTAAGAAGCAATTAAGTTTATATACAATAGCATATGATGACAAATATCTGTTCAAGAGAAATGCATAAAGGTGAGGAATTGTAAAACCTACCTTGCCATGTTGGCTGTTCGTAACTCGCATATTTTGTGTAATTAACCCATCACCACTTGCAGGCAGGGTATTACTGCTAGCTGGATCTAATTGCAGTTGAAGAAACTGTTGATTGAAAACATCAGAAAATAACACAACAGCATGTTGATTCAAACTTTTCTTTTTTTAATTTTTCTCTTTATGGAACATGTGGACTAAACTTGTTACTATGCCAATTGAATGACAAAATAGAAAACACTAAAGGAGCAAATACTAAATTGAAAGTCTACTTATGAATTGAAATTTGAAGTGTAAAAGGTAGTTCAGATGATGGCTTTCATATGGGCTAACCTTCGGAACAGCTGCCTGGAAAATAAAATCTGTATAGACATTAGGCGATTTGTTTATAAAATTTGCCTCAATAAGTGTTGTTTGTGGGTTTCCAGGAGGCTTTGAGATGTTGAACATTATCTTCAAGGAGTTGCTCTCGAATGCAACTATTGATGGAGAAGCAGGACCATTGTCTTCTGTTTATTGAGAAAAAGGTTACCAATATTTTAAGAATAAAATATAACTACGAGCAAAATTCAAGTATGAGTAGAGGCTATACCAAGTTTTTCGGGGATGGAAGCAAAGCCATCCAACAAATCCATCATAGAACCACCTGCAGGAGAAGAGGCTTGCGCAGAAGGTGATGACAGACTCACTAATGCACCATCATCAGAAGTACCGTAACCGTGATTACAGGATAAAATGTCCGATGTAGATGAGCTGCTTTGAGCTGGAGTCCCAATTGACAAAAGATCCAATAAAACATCTGTGCCACTTTTTTGAGCATTACCGGTACCTAGCAATGAAGAAAGAAAACAACTTAATATGCACTGTTGAAGAATGCATTGATCGAGTTATTGACAAGAAATCTAAGAAAAAAGAAAAAATTTGAAAACAAAAATATTACATAAAACTTAACTTTCATGGACAAAGACACGTGACGCGACATGGACACGACACAGACACACCGACAAGAAAATAAAAATAGAAAAACGTAAGAGGCGACACGTGGGGAACGCATGTAAAATATATAATTTTATATATTTATTATATGGATATATAAGCATATTATTTTATATATATGAATATTTAATTCAATGATAAAAATTTACATTTTAAAGAAGGAGAATAGATATAAATTTAATTTTTTTTTCTTTTATCATTGAATTTCAAGTTATTTTATTCAAACTTGTGATGCGTCTATAAGTGATAAACCCGTGTTTCGCAAGTGTGTTAAGCATGTCAATCACCCAAATTCAATTTATCACCAATTCTTAATGGCAAATGTTTGATTAATGAGTTCATCTCATAATAACACACGTCAAAGCAATAAAAAATAGAAGAATAAGATTTTTTTTAAAGATGCCATGATTTTAAGGAAGGCTAAGTCTTTCCATAATGTAGTATTAAAACATAGAACAAATTATTAAAGCTAACATATTTTGGAAACAAAAGTAGTAGACAAAAAGTAAGTTTCACTGGTATTCATAAAATTGTTATACCTTGTGCATCCCAAAACTAACCTGGTTGTGATGAAGCTGGTGATAAGTCAACACCAAGAAGATCGTGAAGAAAATTGCCATCGGAAGGGCTAGGTGCTGGTGCATCATCTGAACTTAGATCTAGTAAATCAACAAGAGGGGCAGTTGTTGATTTTGTAACTCCATTTGGAAGATCAAGTGAAGCTCCAGTCGAAGTTGAAACAGTTCTTGGCAAAAAACCAACCCTCTTTACACTGTAAGTCGCCTCATCTAGAACTGGCATCCTTTCAACAAGGACAGACCTGCACACACTCAGCCAGCTTCTCTGTAAGATACAGAAGGGAACTAAATTCATAAACTATCAAAAAAAAAAAAAAATACATTTGCATACAGTAAAAACTTATTACCCATCACCATCAAAGCTGTACAAGATTTCCAGTAGCTTCTTCTCGTTGTTGTTGAGCAAGTTCCACACAGCATGTTTCTTGTTCATTCCAAATTCGTGCCATGTCTTACTTTCAAACCTAACATCATCCACGGTGTAGATTACTTTAGGGCCTACTTCCTTTCCCGTCCTCATTTTGTAATTTTGTTTCCCACATCCACCCACCACAGGAAACTCGTAATCGGCTAATCAGAATTCGCGGCATGTTTTGTTCTTCACGCGTCTAATCAATGACGTTATATCCTGTCAACGTCAAGGTCTGCAAATTCTTCACGGAGTCCAGACGGTCATCGGCGGCGGAGAGAATCACATGCCAGACGTCTAGAACACAAGTTAAGGGACCAGGATGCCGTCATCCGGCGAATGGCGGCGGAGATGGAGGAGCTGAAGCGGCATGTCAAAGGAAAGGGTGTAGCTGGAAAGGGAGACCACAGTGAGCGCACCCAACCCCGCCGTTCAAGCAGTCAGAGCCAACGGCGTACACCGTCCATCTCAATCACCAGAAGTTACAAGGTTGGAGATTCCGAAGAGCACGAAGAGAAATCCAGCGCACAAGATAGTACCTACCGACCCTCACGTCCGGCGACGACGTCGAGGTATTCTTATTCTGCTCATTCAGAAGATTTGCGGGCAGTTTTGAAGGAGCGGGCTCGCCGGCGGGAGGCTCAAAGGGTGCCGGCGTTCCAGCGGCTATCCTATGGGGTTCACGCCAGCGAGGAGGTCAGAATGCCTCTACCCCGCCCAGCCGCGCCTCTCCTTGTAGATACAGACTTGGCAAGGCTGAGTGCCACTCCATTCTCTGTGGATATTGAGACCACACCGCTTCCGGCGGGCTTCCACCAGCCAAAGTTCACACTCTATGGCGGAAAAACCGACCCGTATATACATGTAAGTCATTTCCGACAGGTCATGGCCGGACATAGGCGGAATGACGCTCTTATGTTCTTGATCTTCCCGTCGAGTTTGGGCGAGCTGGGTTTGAAATGGTTCGAGAGGCTACCGGAAGGGAGCATTAAAAGGTGGCAGCAGTTGGCCGAAGCCTTTGTGACGCGCTTCAAGACCAACACCAAAACCCCAAAGGAAGTTGATCACCTCCTGAGTGTCAAGATGGAACCGAGCGACACGTTGAAGGCATACAACTCCAGATATTGGGAGACCTTCAACGAGATTTTGGATTGCCCGACCAACCTTGCAATCACATAATATAAGCGAGGTCTCCCGGTCGGACATAGACTGCGGGACTCGCTTACCATGCACCAGCCGACATCCATGGGACAGCTAATGCAGCGCATCAATGAGCACATCCGAGTGGAGAATGATGCGTCAGCATCTACCGTGAAGGCAACTCCGGTAGCAACAGACAAGCGGTCAGCTGGCAAAGTGCACGCAGTCGGGCAGGAGGCTGGCCGATCTAGCGACCGCGCTAAGGACTCGAACCGTGGCACTAATCGCAAAAACCGCGGTAGGGGACGTCGGAATGACCGGGATGACGTAGCCGATGCTAACAGAAGGTTGAAAGCAAGGACAAGCATCACCACGGTCTTTAAAATTCCAATCTATCGCATACTTAGTGAAATCCGTGACGAGGAGTATGTCCGGTTTCCTGCTAAGTTAGGCGACGGACAGAAGGGCTTCAATCCGCGATACCGTTGCATGTTTCACCGGGAGCAAGGCCATCAGACAGAGGATTGTTTGCCTTTGAGGCAACACTTGGAAGAGCTAGTCGCAGCCGGACACTTGGACCTTTACATTGACGGCGGCATGAAGGCCAATCAAGCTCCGGTTGATCCGCGGGGACCGGATGACCGAGATGCGCCTCCCCAAGGGGTTATTAATGTCATCCACGGCATAGTGGAACCGGCGCGTGTATGCGAACTTCGAGGAATGATCAAGAAGGCAGAACACATGAGGGAAGTTTTATCGGTTCAGCCTGCAATCAAAAGGGGGAAGACTAAAGAGAAAGATGTGATCAGTTTCTCCTCAAGAGACCTAGAGCGTATTCAGACGCCGCACAACGATGCCCTAGTGGTAACAGTCCGCGTCAAAGAATTCGATGTCAAACGGATCTTGATCGATCAGGGAAGCTCGGTCGAGATCATGTACTACGACGCTTTCAAATAGCTCAAACTCCGGGATACAGATTTGGCCCTGGCAACTTCGCCACTGGTTGGCTTCAACTCACAACCGGAGTGGCCTTTGGGAAAGATTATCCTGCCGGTCAAAGCGGGATCCGTTGTCAAACAAGTGGAGTTCTGGGTGTTGCAAGTGCCATCCACTTATAATTTGATCCTTGGAAGGGGATGGCTTCACACTATGCAAGCCATAGTGTCGACCTATCACCAGGTGATGAGATTCCCCTCGGTTATGGGGGCAATCGAGGAGATTTGGGGTGATCAAGTCATGTCGAAGCAATGCTTCGTGGCGGTCAACGGGAGCCGAGCTGCCAAAGGCTTCGTTCAAATGATTGAGGGACCGGGAGACCGAGGAGTCCTTGACGATGTGGGCACCAAGGCCGAGGACAAAGCTGTCGAGGAATTGGCGGAAATATGCATCGATGCAGAGCATCCGGACAGGTTCTTCTTGCTCGGCTCAAGCCTTACAGCCCAAGAAAGGACCGACATGGTTGAATTTTTGATGGCCAATATCGAAGTCTTCGCATGGTCACCTTACGACATGCCCGGCCTCGATCCAAGTTTTATATGCACTTAGAAAATATGAGGAAGAAGAACTCCGAAAAATATGAGGAAGAAGGAATATATTTCTGTTATATTCAAAACTTCTTATCTTACAAGACCAAATGACACTCCTTATATAGGAGATATTACAAACATCATTATAACCCACTATATGCCACTTACATATTATATATTACCACTATCTACCACTATCATATTATATACATGCCACTATCTACCACCAACACCACTATCATATTATATACATGCCACCATCTTATTATATACATTAACACAAATTTCGAAGATATCTTCCATAGCCAGCTTGCTAGTCAGCTTATCAAATTGCTTCTTGTGTAGTCCCTTCGTTAGCACATCAGCTAATTGTTCACCTGTTGGAAGGTAAGTCATACAGATTATGCCAGCATTGATTTTCTCCTTGATGAAATGTTTATCCACTTTTATATGTTTTGTCCGATCATGTAGAACTGGATTATGAGCTATAGATATAGCTGCTTTGTTGTCACAATAGACCTTCATAGGTGTCGGGTGAGAAAGCTTTAATTATTCAAGAATTCTTTTAATCCACATTACTTCACAGATTCCATGGGCAACAGCTCTGAACTCTGCTTCTGCACTACTTCTAGCTACCACATTCTGTTTTTTACTCCGCCATGTAACTAGGTTCCCACCTACAAAGGAGCAGTATCCGGATGTTGATCTCCTGTCTGTAACACTTCCTGCCCAAACACAAGTTTGCGGGGGGCTGTTA